CTTCCATATTCACCTTGATGGAGTGGTGAATCGAGATTATATTATCCAATAAAGATATAATGGTTGCCTTATTCTCATTAAAAAACGTATTGTAATCCAATACATCAGTTCTGCATTCCAATCGATAGCTCACAATGCGGCATTTGAACGCATTTTCAATCACATATACTCCGTCCCTATAATTGACGCAAGCGTTTGTCCGATGCTCCAATGTCCTTTTATGCGCACCCATTTTATCGGTTGGAATGGTCTTATTGCAAACAGTACATGTCTGCACATTTGCAGAAGTTGCTGCTTGCTGAGTGCCATCTTCCAGTCGAGGCTTCTTTGCAATAGATGGGTTGAAATTTCCCACACATGCAACCCTTTGATGACGTCGTAGATTGTCACTACGTGTGAAAGGTTTAGCGCACACACTGCAAACTAACATTTTGTTTAGATGATTTATCACTCACAAAGAACTATTCAACTTGATGTTTGATGATAGTATTGAGAGAGAACTGTGCTCTCATGGACACAACTATTGGGTTTATATAGGAGGGAGTCATGACGTAACACAGCACCCCACTTCTACCAAAACGACCTCGACCAGCCTACTCCCATTTTCAAGGTCGCACACGCTTTCACCTCCCTCTCCAAGGTCGAGGTCTCTCTCTCTCTCTCTCTACAACTCAAGGTCACTCGTTCCCAAGGTCACATATGCGAAGGTTACTCGTACAACCTTCCTTCAAGGTCACTTTGTCTCGCCCTCAAGGTCACCTCCGCGTTCAAGGGCGTGCTGTCGACACTTCACTATACGAGGTTACTCCCGCCCAAGGTCAGACCCGTTCAAGGTCACTCCCGCCCAAGGTCACTCCCGCCCAAGGTCACTCCGCCCAAGGTCGGAGGACGGTGACCTAGGGCGGAGAGCCAGAACCGGCCAATCTTTACTACTAGCGAGGAAGATGAACTAGAAAAAATAATGAATAGTTATCCCTATCTACTTCGAGTAAACAACTATCACCCAGAGTATCAGACATAAGCACATCCCAAGAACAGAAAACAGGTCACACTCAAAAAATGAAGAATTCATAAAATAAAACGCAATTCAATATTTCTTTCTAGTTAATCCATCACATTCACATTTCACAACTGGCAGAGATAACAATATTTCATATTCCTGAAGTACAAATCACACTTTCTGAATTCCCATTCAACTGATCAACATCACAAATGACGACAAAGTCCGAATTTCAATTGAGCCGTTCTGAATTATTACAAATGGTACATTGTGAAATTCAAATGAATATTTGTGAATTTCAATTGACGCCTTTTCAATACCAATTGATATCTCTGAATCATAATTGTCGCTTTCTGGATATCAGTTGACTAATCTGGATAACATTCAATATATTCGGAATTTCAATTAACTCATCTGAATGATATTGTCTGTATCACATTCGACGCTTTCTGTAATACAATTAAAAGAGATGTCGACGTTTGAATTCTGAATAGTCTATCTGAATCTTGTACAATGCTTTCAACTCTAATAGGCGCTGATGATTGTACCCTATTAGCTGTGAATAGATCTATTGATGTTGTAACGTGAAAATTGCCTTTCCTCGAATTTTCAGTTCCATCTTTATAATTCACGTATGAAAGCATTGAGACACTGTATCTGAAATTCTTTATTTATATACCATATTCACATGACACTAGATTGTATTGATGGTCCTTTAGTTGATCAGACTTCTACGACCTGAAAATACAAGTAAATATAACAATTCTATCAAATAACAATTAGAAAGTACTCACCTGGTTCAGGATGTTCTTTCAGTCTGGGTGTGATTATTGTGCTTCAGGGATTTCTTCCAAGACCTTGACTTTGATGGGTGTTTGGCTTCTGTGCATTATTTAGCTGGTATATTTTCTTTTTCTACCATATTTGATGGTTCTTATACTTATATCAGTAATTTCAATGATTATTGTTTTGTTTATTATTGTTGAGCTGTCATTGAAATATAGGAATTTCATTAGAGGTATTCATCAAGTTGATTGCCAATTGTCAAGTGATGAGGGCAACTGCACCTGATCTACACCGAACCTGCAGCGAATAGTTGGACGGTAAAGTGAATTATTGCAGCCAGGATAGTTTTATGACTTTCAGGGTACTGGCGCTAGTCATCTTTGGAAGGCGAAGAGCAATGTTTCGTGTATTTGTCAAGGTCGTGTCGCATCTGTTCATTCTGGCCCTGTGGAATCCAAGTCGGAAGAAGTCGGGGATGCTCGGTTGTTTCGTAGCTGTCATTTCATTCTGGGCGAATCACAAGTCAGTATTTCAGTCACATGTAGGGCGCTTAAAACCATCCTGTATTTCCTCTAGTGCGCAGAGTTTGCATATGAGTTGTATCCTGTTTTTTATTGTTAGTTTTTGGGATGTTAAGTTCTGAAAAGGCGCAGGAGGCTATCCCTCCCAAAGTGTCGACACGCCACTTCGACATTCATTCTCGGCAAGATGGGCATTGCTCATTATTTCGTGGTGAACCTTTTCAAAAGTGAGGCCTTTCCTTCTTGGGGTAAGTTTTTGAACATTGAAAATCTAGCGGTCAATTCCTCCTATGATATGAGGCTGGTTATTTATTTGGATCTATTCCGTTAGATCTGTGGGCCTCTTTGGTACCCCGTGTCGACCACGTGGCCATTTTATACTCTCAACGGAGAGATTCCATCTCTGAAGCAGGAGGCTATATGAAGCCTCATCAGACGTCGCAGGATCTCTCGTCGCTGCAGGCATCTCAGGCTCCTTCATCTCTGCAGGCCTTCCAGGCCCTTTCGTCTCTAAAGGCACCTCAGGCCCTGCAGGCTCTTCGAACGACGCCAGTTCATCAGGCTCCACTGGATCTACAATCTGCACAGGATCGTCAGACTTCCCTGTCTCTTCAGTCTGTACCGGATTGCCAGGCTGCCTTATTCCTTCAGTCTCCACAGGCCTATCTGTCTGTGCCGGGTCATCAGTCGTCACTGTGTCACCAGGCTTCGCAGTGTCCTCTCTTGGAAGCTGCCTCTTGCTGGCTGGGACCAGGATCGCACCTGCTAGACTCCAGCAGAAGGGGGCCATCTTTCTTCTGGGGACTAGCCATTGAAGAGTCTGGCCAAACAGGCTAAGAACGCCGTCAGGATGCCACCCTGCTAGTTGCCCTACTAGCTGTGGTTTGAGTAAGAAAGCCACCCAAAATTTGGAATTTACCATTATTATTTTCTTGAGGATGTCTCAATGTCTAGTATTCTTCACCATGATTATTTTATGATAATTAATAGGTTGCTAAAGGTCCATTTCATGCATCCGGTTTATAGTACTATAAAAGGGATTTTAGGGTTTTTGAATATACTGGTCATACATAGTAACTTTCACTGAGAATATTTTGAATTCTATCATATTACTTAGACAGCAATCTATCTTGTAGGTAATAAAAAACTGAATTTAATCCTCATTGAATAATATCTGAGTTCACACAGTGTTTTTTCTTCTATTTCTCTTTCAGGAAGCTAGACTGAATTTTACTATAACTTTCTTGGTTTTGCCTATATCAAATCAAGTGGCGCCCTTTGTCATTCAATAGTCAGAATTCACTACCATTGCTCACCAGACGAAAAGCTGCTGTGCCTTGTAAGCCCTCATGAATAATTTTTCTTAAATTGAATTTCTATATTTTTCAAAATTTCATAAGTTTGCTACAATGTAGCCAACTTTCTTGAATCTACCTCCAAGCTTAGATCTTCATTAGAATACTGAATACTGTTTATTCAGGTGATTCAATACAGTGATATGATCCCGAATGATATTGTATTTTAATTAACTGAAAGAGGGATGAATATGGAAGACAACGATATGACCTTGAAGAATTCCGAATTCCATAGGAAGCCCTTATCTGAAAGTTATTATCTAAGAATCTCAACACATCATAAACCTAATCGTGGAACTATATAGTTATTCACCACGGATTAACAAAACTGAAGGCATGCTCCCAAGCTTATATCATACTGTTTGGAAGTGGCAGCTGTCGAAGTTGTCATGTTTGATTTGAAGGCGTCTTTGACAACACTCTGGCAACTAGGGTGATCATGTGGTCAGAGTACAGATACAGATACAGCTATACAGTTCTCAGCCCCTGGATAACAACTAAAAAGAGTAATCTTCGTTGAGTAATCCAAACCATCTGCCTGTTTCTTCTCAGCGAGGTATAAAATTCTCGTAGAAATCTATTCAATTAGTATCTGTCTCATTACTCTCTCAAAACAATTTAAATCCCTTTCATCAAGTTGAGAACTTCTACGAACTGTATATTGAGTGCGTCAGCTTCCTCTGATTCCATTTTTAGCACTTAACTGAAAGGAAAACTTGCAATGATGTATAAATAAAGTAGTGAATACTGATATTGTGTATGTATACAGGTCTGAGAATCATTGGACCATCAGGAACTTTTTTCTCATCATAAAGCCTAGAAACGATAAAAAAACTAGATGATTTGTTGGGGGAAACTAAATTGGCAACAATTCTCAAGAAAACATTCCCATTCGATCCCTCTTTAGAATTCTTGAAGAAACACGTGCCCCCTGCCCCTGCGTATTCTTCGTCGATTTTTGTGGTCTCCATATACGTATTAATAAACAATACGGATCATAACGGGTGCCAGGATGAAGCCAAAAATATGAAACAGTTGAATATCCATAAGGATTTGGTGGCTTGATACGCATGCGCCATGCGCTATTATAGTAGTCATCAAAGATATGCGTTTCGGTGGACAATGACGTTTACTAGCCTTTCAATCAAAGCAGTATGTGTCTGATCGTTTCAAAACTCTTCCTTATGGATAGCCATTTGTCTTCAAAAATCGGCTTCATGTTTCGCTATGGAAACAGATAGAGATTATCCGTATTGATTATTAATACGTATATGGTGGTCTCTCATCACATAGTATAACGATAATATATATAATTGATTATGATTCCAATGATTTCAGATAGAAGATTATTTGAAAGTGATAGTGAAGAGTGTGACTATCGGAATCATCATGACGCTCGCAGTGGAGGAACCTGGAATATCATTACAAAAAATGATGCTGCCTCAGATTGAACGGAATATATCAGAGAAGAAATTGAGGAAGCACGAAAAATAGCAAGCAACAAAAATGAGACAGAAATCATTATACTCAGAACCCAAACATTATACAGATTGGAATTGAATCGAATATATTTTGTTAATCATGCCAATGTAATTTATTGACCATTGTGTAAAGTTCTAGGTGTTGACACAAAAGGGATTCAGTATATCGTAGGTCTTCTATCCTCGGCAAGTATTAGTATATACAGATAATTCATAATGAGACTGACAATCTGCGATTTCAAAATCCTCACCCCATTTCGAGGTGAATAGGTAGTGTATTACGTATATTGTGGAAAAGCTCCATAGTTCAGTTGCTATAAAATATAGACAACATACAACCTCCGTATATCGATATTTTTCCAAAAGAATCATGTCGTATTCTTGCAATTTTTTCGCGGCATTGCCGAGATGATTGGAATAATATCAAAACATTTTAATACAAGATGTTCATTCTTATATGCTTGCTGAACATTTTCAAAATGTCTATTCATAATGTATATTATTATTCAAAATGTCTAACCAAAATTATGCATGAACTTCGACGATAGTTATAATTCTAATCTTATCGTCATATTCTCGATATCATTGGTCTATTTCTATTATTTTCATCTATCAGGCATGCCGATTCGCTGACCCCCTTACGAAATAAGTTGGGTTTACTGAGTAAAAAAAATTCGTACCGGCATCTGATATCAATATACAAGGTGTTGAAAAAATTAAATTTTTACACATTCTTCAAGATTAGGTCGAAACTACTGGCAACATTGAAATGAAATTCTGTATGAATGTTCCTTAGAATCTGACACATCGCATGCATTTGTTTTTATATCTGACTCTCATAGAGGGCGCTGCACGGTTCGTACCGAGTAGTTTTGAACATAACTTTTTTGAGGTTAGATTTTTCAATCCAAATTTGATGTGAACTTGAAGATCATTCAATATCACTACCAAAAGGTACCTACTCTTGGTAAAACTCGATACTGTGTTCCGTTTTCGGAATATTTCGATTTGGAAATGTTGAAGTGATAACTCTTGCAGGTATAAAGGTATGTATTAGAGTGAGTATTATGAAGAATTATCACCTATTTATTGAAAATCGAAAACAACAATACATTTCGGATGCAAAACTTATTGATTTAACAATGAATTACAAGAATAACATCGAAACAGATTTGACTAAGATCATGAATCACACAGTTCCATTCATCCATTCCATCAATAACTTCAGCACAACAATTTCTGTTTGTTTTTGAATCTGAATAAATCGGTAATTGAACTCAATAAAATTCATTTAATACCAGCATCTATATCACTTCATCATTTCCAATTTCCAAATCGAAATATTCCGAAAACGGAATACAGTATCGAGTTTCACCAAGAGTACCTTTTTAGAGTGAATTTGAATGATGTTCAAGTCCACATCAAATTTGGATTGAAAAATCTAACCTCAAAAAATTTATGTTCTGAACTACTCGGTACGAACCGTGTAACTAGCGCCTTCTACGAGAGTCAGATAAGTATAAAAACAAATTCATGCGATGTGTCAGATTTAAATAAACATCCATACAAAATTTCATCACAATGGTGCCAGTAGTTTCGAGTGTTTCGACATAATCGTGAAAAATGTGTAAAAAAATAATTTTTTCAACACCTTCTATCATGAAAACGGATGCCGTTCGAAATTTTTTCACTAAACAAACCCAACTTATTTTGCAGTGTTCAACCTACCCTAGCAAGGGGGTCAGTTTTTTTTAAACACCCTGTATGAAATAATAAATAATATGTGACAATTGTTATCAAAATTATATCAAGTATAAGGTGATCAAGAGGATTAAAAATATAAACAATTTCAGATGATCAATCGTGATTTCATGAAATATTTTGCTAAATTGATGTGTTATTGTGGAAAATATGAATATTATCGGTATCATAGATATTGTCTTATGCTTATTATGGATATCGATAGAATTTTGAAAGCCTCGCAGTAGGTATAATTGCGCTCGATTATTTTGCGATGACTGCTTGAGCATGGACAAAGGTAAGTAGTTATTGTTCTATCGCTATCCCAGATATACTAGCTCATTGATTAAACGTTCGATGAAGGTTGGAATCATGGAAATAACTTCACCGGTGTGAAACTTCAACATTGAAATTTGGTTGAGGTTAATCAAGAAATAAAGACGATATTTAAACTTTTCACACCCAACCATTCATATTTTTGTGTCCATCTACAATCACCATCACCTCACGGAGTGTGCCGTCATCACTCACTCAACGTTGGCATCCCTCGCTCGCATGAGTTTTTATTTTGATCATTTTGCAGTGGTAACAATGATTCAGTATGGCGTATATTGATTTCTTTGTTTATGTTGTTTCAACACTCTCAACAGAGATTTTAGTACTGTGTTCAGTTCGTGTTTGGTTTTCTAGTGGATTTTTATACAAAGTGAAAGGATATTGAAATAAATACAGAGTGAGTGAGGAACAAACATATATACAAACTTGCACAGCTAAATAATGCCCCTATTTTAGATAATAATTCAACAAACACCATTGGACAAACAGATGCAATAAGAGTTTGGACATGTTTAGCGAATACACAAGAATCTAATAATATAATAATATGAATCATAAATCTATTTTCGAAACGAAAATCAAAGAGTACCTACTTGAAGAAACAGTTATATTTCAAGAATTACTGTAGGTATGTATAATGTTGCATGTTTTATTGGATTAGTAGAGAATGAAATCATTCAATCTTTCAGCAACAAAATCAACAACCAGCAGCCCATCAATCACAGATATCAATGAAGAAATCACACAATGATCCAGACTATGATATAAATTTCTTCATGGTATATGATATCTCACTTCCAGGCAACACTCATATCAATATGATAAAGAGTGAGGTTCTCCATATCTGGGAATTGTTTTCTTGTGGATTGAACTCTCTATTGTTGACAATAACTTGATCAATATAATAACTGATTACCTACCTACATAACTTTCAAGTTATTAGGTAGGTATATAGGTGATGTAATTTTTGACCTAGAGTTAGCAACTTTTTGAAACAAGTGGAGAAACAAATATCTATTCTGCATGATGAAACACAAATACCTATTATTGTAAATTGTAGGTACCTTTTCATGATGAGTATACAGAGTGATATGTAGAACTAAAATTAAGATGTTTGATGTTTCCATAGTTGTGATATGTATTGTTTGAGATCATGGCAATAATATACACACATGGATATTTTCAGTTCTTGTTTTTGTATGGGGTATTTATACTGCTAGTTTCCTGGAAAAAACTGTGATATCAGGATTTATATGTTATACCCAGAGGATTAACAAAAAACTGGGAGACCTCAATTCTGTGTTTTGAAGTTCCACATTTTTCAACCAGTTTGAAAATAAAGAGAGTGATGGAGATCTGAGTGAAAATGAGATACTTTGCTTTCCAAGTGGTGATATAAACTGGGATACCTATCAAAAAACTTATTTTCACTGAGATATATGCATTACCCTGTATATTTTTTGACAAACCTAGTTGAAAAATAGGACATCAAAAAACAGAATACCATGAATATTGAATTCATTCAACCCCGTTAACCAACGGCCCTGAAAAACTCCTCTATTGAAGGAATAAAGATTCTCAAGCGGCCAATTAATGGCAGTCTCAATCGGGCCGAAGATATGCCATGAATGCGGTACATTTGAGTACTTGCATCTGCCCACCAGAAGCCCTGCAATGTAATAAGCGGCATACTGATGGCTCTAGAGAGGCGGTCGGCTGTCGGCCGCCGGGACACGGGCTAGCCGGCCCAATTTATTTGTACAATAGAGGACCGCTGTTACCGCTCGCCGGCAAGTTTCATTGTACCTTCAGAGGGCCGCAACAATCATGTTTGCTGGGTCCTGAGTATCTGATAGACTGTCTTGCTGTCCAAACGTTCCTAGATGGATTGCGCGATATGGAAATGCGGAAAGCGGTTCGGTTGGCTCGACCTAAAGACTCTCCCAGTGCTCTGGCAGCTGCGCTAGAAATCGAGGCCGCGATAGAAGCTACACGAGAAGCAACAAAATTTCAAGCCGTCGATGACAGCACGAACATAGCGGACAGTCCCAGGCAAAATCTAACTGAAGACCTTATAAACGTCATCAAGGGCCTCTTGGATGAGGAGAAGAAACCAGTTCGAGCAGCTGCAGGAAAACTAGAGCGAGATGATCCAAAAAGACCTGTTTACCGAGTGAGGACGAGCCATAAGAATGCAGATGCATTGTCCAGAAGGCCATATCCATCTGAGTGCTCACATTGTAGTCGTTTGGAGGATAAGGAAGCAGCCCTCTACAGAACCACCGTTCTCAATGAAGATTGGTTACCTGCAGCAATCAAGCAAGAGCAAGAAAAGGACCCAGAACTTCGCAAGCTTCGAGAATGGAAGAAAGCGAATCGTCGTCCTTCTTGGCAAGAAGTAGCACCATCTTCACAGACTTTGAAGGCGTACTGGAGTCAGTGGGACTCCTTGGTATTAAAAGATGACCTGCTCAAGAGGAATCTCGAGAGCGATGATGGGTCGGATAATCGGATGCAGTTGGTCATTCCTAGGAGCCGAGTGTCGGAAGTACTTGGATATGTACATGATGGTACGTCAGGGGGACATCTAGGAGTGAGGAAGACACTGCAGCGAGTACGAGAGCGGTTCTACTGGGTGAACTGCAGTGACGACGTCAGGGAGTGGTGCCGCAAATGCACCGTGTGTTTTGCCAGCAATGGGCCTCATCGTAAACCAAGGGCACCCATGAGACAGTACAATGTTGGAAGCCCTTTCGAGAGGATTGCCATTGATATTGCGGGGCCGTTTCCAGTGACTGATAATGGTAATAAATACATCCTTGTGTGCATGGACTACTTCACCAAGTGGATGGAAGCGTATGCGATCCCTAACCAGGAAGCCGTAACTGTCGCTGATGTCCTAATGAATCAACTCATCAGTCGTTTTGGGGTGCCATTGGAACTTTACTCTGATCAGGGCCGGAACTTCGAGAGTGAAGTGTTCAAGAAGATGAGCGAGAAGTTAGGAATCAAGAAAACAAGAACAAC